GTGGCACGAAGGATACCTCCTCACAACTTATGTTCTCCTGATACAAATTTCCAAAATTGGTCAGTGGAATTTCAAAAATCCCGCTTGGGAATTCTTGGAAATGACGTCCTCAAATTTCCAAGAAGTGGCACGGAGTATACCTCCTCACAACTTATGTTCTCCTGATACAAATTTTCAAAATCGGTCCATGGAATTTCAAAAATCCCGCCCCGGGAATTCTTGGAATTTGACGTCATCAAAATTCCAAGAAGTGGCACGAAGGATACCTCCTCACAACTTATGTTCTCCTGATACAAATTTTCAAAATCGATCCATGGAATTTCAAAAATCCCGCCCCGGGAATTCTTGGAATTTGACGTCATCAAAATTCCAAGAAGTGGCAGCACAGATACCTCCTCACTACTTATGTTCTCCTGATACAAATTTTCAGAATCGGTCCATGGAATTTCAAAAATCCCGCCCCGGGAATTCTTGGAATTTGACGTCATCAAAATTCCAAGAAGTGGCACGAAGGATACCTCCTCACAACTTATGTTCTCCTGATACAAATTTTCAAAAATGGGTCGATGGAATTTCTCGTACAAGTTCTCGATATTTTGTTTTTTATCTTTTAATTTTTAAAATTTAGGGCAATTTTTGGGGATAGGAATGACAGGATTTATAACTAAGTAAATACACAAATACTTGTTTTTATTCATATTTATTTTCAAACACTTTTGTACATCAAATGACGTAATACATTTTATTAATAGACAGATACATTATTAACACTTAATTCTAGGACGGAATTATCATAATAATAGGTACGTATTAGTGTGCGCTGTAGTACAGGATCTTGTAGAAAGCTGATAAAAATCTGTTGAGAGAATAAAGATAATGTAGCAATTAATTTGCTTCTAAAAAGTTGAAGAAAACTGTAAGTTATGGAAGAAATGTGATGAATACATAAATCAGACGATTGCTCTCTTGAGCTGTATTAAATGTCGTTCACATTAGGCTATTTTGACAAGTATTTGCCTAATTTGAACGCCCCCTTATGCAGTCTCGTCGCAGCGCCATCTAGTAGTGATACGCGGAACTACAATGGAAAATTCGCTGATGGTATATTACCTTTCAAGTGTAATCAATTAATTACCGACAAAATCCAGTCGGTACTTTACACGTGTTCATCACAGTTCAGCACTTTGTTGTTGGATGGCGCTGCTAACAATATTTGTGGCGGTTTTTTTAAAAGATCGTTTTCTTTTTTCTTGATGTATTTATATGCGTATCATTCTCAATAATTCTTATACTCTATGTTGATCATCAGAATCATTGGTCAAGAAGAATGTTTAAAGCTATCTTAAAAAAAGGAAAAATGAAATTTTCAGTACTCCCACTAAAATAACAATGGAATGTATGATTCATTCTATATCTCGTTTGCATTTCTATTACAAAATCATAGATCGATAAAGCGTAATCATTGCGTGGTCAATAAAACTACAATCAGAAAAGTAATAAAAAATCCAGCATCGAAGTTACGAATGCGCTATAATGATCATCAAGATATTTTTCTTTTTTCCTTTATTTCTGACAAGCTAAATGTAAACAAGTTTTGTGTTTCATAATATCATGGTCATACGACATAGTCCTAAATTAAGAAAATGATTTAACTAAAAAAAAACCGTTGCAAAAAATGCCTTCCTCTGCACTCTTTTAATTTTGAAAGTATTTCTATTTTTAACACTACATAACATTATTGAACAGTGACAGAATATTAGATAACATAGTAAATGATTTCAAATCAAATCTTGCAATATATAGCTATTTAATTTACAGATGGCGTAGAAAACATTACATGCATGACAAGTATTTCAAAATGGTTGCATTGGGTTCACATATCAGTGGTTTATAACGTATACTTACTGATTTGTCATATATATATTAGAATTTAACCGGTTTTACGAGCGTTCTTTTTTCAATGCGCCTGCATTTCATAAAGTACGTAGTAATATTTTAGAACTATATACGGAAACCTGACGAGTACATAAACGCCTGAACGTTCTGAGGTTAAGTGACTCAATGGAGATTGAACTGTAAGACAATATTTTGTTTACTTGTATACATAAATATTAGAATATTTGTTACTTTTATATTCACGTGAAAAAGCTTGAACAGCTTTGTGACGTTAAATTTACTGTTCGTAAGTGGCTTAAAGGTTCTAAGATGTACTTATCTCGTATCAATAATTCTTCCGATTTATTGTCAGCTTTCTCGCGCGCCTTGCCAGCAGGTATGAAATTTACACCATTTTATTATTTAATTTTTATTATGTATTTTTCCAATCAAACCAAACATTGTTTATTTATCAAATTGTCATGTATACCTCTTTACTTATTAAATTTTTTAATTCTTAAGACTATTACTTTATTTATATATTATCAAACTGATAAATACTAACAAATGTATTTTGCAATGTTTGAAAACCTGATAAGATAATAGATTACATACATAAGTTTTTACTATACTACAGATCATGCAATCCAAAGAAGAATTAATAAAACATGAGGTTATGTACATATTATAAAAATAAAGAAAAATTTGAAGAAAATATTAAACAAAATTTTTCTTTAAAGAACGCGGAAATAGTTCCAGAATGACTAGCGTCCAATTGCATAACCTTGTCGAGAATGATAAAACATTTATGTACAATTAGACGCAGTAGGTTAGTTTACGAATAAACGTAAAAAGAGAAATCATGATTACTATCCTTTTTTCGTAGCCAAATCTATGTTGCCCCCAGGTGTACATGAAGTGACATAAACAATGAACGGACCTACATGTAATAACCAGAGCATGTCCTAATTATTTATTAATTTTTTCAGTGAACGCGCCATTTGAAATGCAATGCACACGATACGCAGCGGTGCACAATCGCATGAAAAATCTTCATGTAACAAGTGTTCGTCGTTACCCTAATCCCCCCACATTACCACTTCCCACAAATGTCTCTGAAATATTTGCCAACGAAACTGGCCGTTTTACCCCTCAAAGAGCACGAGATATCGCTGTGCCGGTGCTGCTGTATAACAAAAGTGACTGCAAATCATTTTTTTCCGAACAACCATCGAAGATGACGGAAGCGTCTGACAGATCGGAAACATACGAGGATACGTGCGTCGATTCGTACGATTGTTTTGGCGCGGTTAGTTTGAATGGCACTATGCAGAGCAACGTTCCAAAGCCGTACAGTTCCAACGGAAAATCAACCCATTTAAATATGCCTGGCGGACAGTGGGCCAGAGACGACAAATATATTGCCGAAGACATGCAGAAATCGCATTACCGAAGCGTTCATTTGCCACTGCTGAAACTGGATAAACGTGGTTAGTAGTTCAGTGAAAAACAAAATTCTTCACGATCTTTTAATTCTACGTTATTGAAATGTTGAATTTATGATAGAATTATTTTTGTACATGGTGAGGGGATGTAACTATTAAAAAACAAAAAAAGAAAATATTGTTATTTTGTTGTTTGCGCGCTGTATCTTGCCGGTACATTCTTCTCCATGTTGTATTGTAAAGCAAGATGAATTTGGTAATTATTATGAAACTAGAAGCATTTTGAAAATATGACGACGCACATTACCGGCAAGGTAAACAGTCAAGAAATTGTAATCTGTCACTCAGGTCTGGCAAATTATGTCTCAACGAATATTCTTTTGCAAACAATGTATCCACACAAGTATATCTGCAGTATGGGATATTCGACGGCTACACCGCAAGTAACGAATACGCAAAATAATACTGATAAAAAGCCAAATGTTGTCTTATCCAAGAAAGACAAATTTAAAAGAATTGTCAAGGATTATGGAGTTACGGTTATTATATTTCACGTAACACTTTCGTTAATGTCGCTCGGTGGTTGTTACGTAGCTGTATCTAGGTTAGTTTCACAATTGTATATTATGGTATTTATATAAAATTTGTAGTCCATTATTTCAGCAATTTTAAACGAGCATGTTAATATCTACATTAGCAGTTATTATAAAAATTAAATAACATTTTGTAATTATCTTAAATATTTCAGTGGGGTAGATTTAAAACCTCTCGTTCAACTTATTTTATCCGACGATAATCAGATAAAAGAGATTCTTACTAATTCTTCAACTTTTCTATTGGCGTATGGTATTCATAAGGTGATGGCGCCTGCTCGAATTGCCGTAACATGCTCTGTTACGCCATTACTTGTGAACCGTTTACGAAAAATGGGGATCCTTAAACCCCCGAAAATACAGAAGACAAACTGAATTTTGAGTGATCGATTACAATTGTTATATCAATATAAATGTAATGTATATTTCTTAATTAAATATTTATAACTGATGAAATATAACATACAAAATATTTGTATATAGATATATTTCGGTTTATTATTATAAAGAATAGTTGCAATTACTTTACACAACGTCACGTATATTTCATATATATATTTTTTTGCGCATCTACTACAATGTAAGTACGGCTGTCTTAACATAGTAGTCTCATTATATGGCCCCGCGAATGAGATCCCTTTTAAATGGACTTTCTTTTTTCAAGATTTTTAAGTTCACCAAATTTATAAATATACAACTCGCCAGCTACATATTTTTAACAATTAAGCGTATAAAAAAAATTCTACTTATATATTTTTTCAATCTTCACACCCTCAGAGCCATATAACGAAACCTTACTACAGCAGTTTGATTTTCCTTTTTCTCGTTTATGTTTATCTTCTTTTATTAGTCGCCGTAAATACATGACATACACAAAAGCTCGACAGTTTCAATGGACGAATTCATTAATCATATTGGAACAACGGTCGCGCTCGATTGCGAAATCATTACCGAGCATTTTCGGATTCGAATGACTCCGATTAATCGAGTTATCCATTAATTTGATTACGCATAGGAAACATACGAAAATGCCAATTATTTGGCGGACATGTATATGTACATAAGTTTTTTAAAAAATATATTATAGTACATAGTAAAATTAATAAATGTAGGTATATACAATTTAGTTTACCTAGGGCATTACCTATGTCTTACAATGTAATTTTACATCTTTCAAAGATACACTCGCCTTTAATTGTAACCTGCAAAGGCAAGGTTCAAAAAGTTACATTAGAAAACGGAAAAGCCTCGGAAGATTCTTTATAATTGGTTGAACACAAGATTTTCAATGATCTTAAATGCTTAATCGAATATCGTAAAATATCTCTCAAGATGTTTTGTAAAAAATATAAAAATTGTTCGCGAGAATTAGTAAGCGTAATTGTTTGTGTATCGATCAAACCCAAAGTGAAACAGGTTTGAAACTACGATCAGACATACAAATAGTACCCCACTGTTTTGTGCATGGCAGGAAAGTACACTTATACACACTGAACACATTGTCTGCAAACAGTTTGAGCATTCATAACTTAAATAATAAGATATTAGATTATGGATTCTGTTAATATATAAAAAAAAAGTTTTAGTACTTAAAAATATGATTTAAACATTGTCTAATAATACTTGCAAACTAACACAACGATTAGTTTTCTAACATTTTTGTTGTAAAAATACAACAGAAAAAATTCACAAATAGCTTAAACAAACGTACAACCATTTAGGTAAAAAAATATTTTGGCACGGTACATTCATATAATTCTCATTGCTCTTTACAATGCACTGATAAGATATAAAAATTATATAAAAATGCAAGTCTCCGTATTCAGATCTGTTTACGACGAATTGAACTTAATAACATTTCTGCTTCATATAGATCGAACATTATTGTTAGCTGCAATAGAATACGTATATATATATACGTACTTTTTTTTGTCAATTTAATTAGTTATTTGAGCACGCGATAATCAATGATTAGATATAGTAATAAATCTTTTTTTTCTTGAATTAAGTCATTAAACTTACGCTTCAGCGCATCGTTCTTTTATGTAATTAAGAAAGGCAGATCTTTTCTAAAAAAAAGTCTTTAAACATACGCCTCGGCGCGTCGTCCTTGTATATGATTAAAAAACTGTCGCCAACTGGTCAACGTTTTGCTTGACCATACCCAGAAGCTGCTTGTTATACCAACAATCATAGCCATTAAATATTTTATCATGAATACCTCGAACTCTGGTCGCCTCCCAACATCGCGGGTTCGCTCGCCAACAGGGCACGGCATGGAATACAAAGATTGCAGTTTTGGACTTGAACACATCTCCATATTCCAAGTCAACATCCATTGATCAAAATACGCTTGTTCATAGAATAAACAAGCAATGACAATCAATGCAGGAACTATGTATAGTACAGAAAATATGCCGATACGAATCATTAATTTCTCTAGTTTGTCAGTCTTTGTACCATCGTGTTTCATAACTGTACGTATTCGGAAAAGCGAAACAAATCCAGCCAACAAAAATGCGGTACCAAGAATAAGGTAGACACATAACGGTGCCAGGACAAATCCACGTAGAGCTTCAACATTCCAAAGTCCCACGTAACAAACACCTGATAATATGTCTCCTGTGTAAAATAATGTGCATTAGTTACACGGATTACATCATGGTACATTTTTACTCTGTCCCTGATAGCTTACCTTCTACTTTTCCCATTGCAAGAATAGTAACTGTTTTTATTGCTGGTGCAGCCCAAGCTGCTAAGTGAAAATATTGTGAGTTGGCTTCTATTGCTTCATGACCCCACTTCAATCCAGCTGCCAGGAACCATGTCAGGGTTAGGATAACCCACCATATACTAGATGCCATTCCAAAGAAGTAAAGTACCATGAAAAGTACAGTGCACAGTTCATACTTGGTGCCTTGTGTTATTGTTGATACCCTTTGAAGTTCCATATTTAATGGAGGCGTAAAGGGTTCTCTGCACGAGATAGAATTACCAGCTGCCCAACCAATCACATAGGCTAATGCTACCATGAGGTAGCACACGGACAAAAAGATGATTGGCCTTTCTGGATACCTGTACATCATAGAAACATATCAGTGTTGGATCATAAATTATAATATTTTAATATTTGATGTATTAGTGAAAATAATTATATAAGCTGACAGTTAAATAACTTCAATGCTTTCACTACCAGAAGTTAATTGGCAATACGTTCATTATAGAACTCTTTCATTGTTCTAAGATAATATAAACATTACATTATAATAAATTCTTCGCATATAACACTACTTTCAAGAGTTTAACTTCTTAATCGTATCTGCATATAACATAAAGTTTCTAATCCTCCCATTTTATGCTAATGCGCTTTAACATGCAAATAAGCACGCATCATTATGAATACAATCAACATTTTTTTACCTAAATCTATCAGTGTCAATGAGAAACGTAAGGAAGGTGAAGAAACAAGAGGCCGCGCAGATGGATGCCCAGGTACCGACCCAGACCCTCGAAAATCTCCGTTCCTTCTCGGTGAAAAACATCCCATCGCAAGGTGCGCCACAATTCGGCTCAACTTTATCGCCGACCTTCAACGAGTAACCGAGTTCTTGCGGGACCTTGAATTGTATCGGACAAACGAAACCGAAGTCCCTGGCACCTAGTATGGGGCCATTGCTATACGGTTTGCGTCCTCCCGTCCAGGAGGGTTGAAATTCGACTACTGGCATATGTGGTGGTGCATAAATCGGCGATTCCGTTGGTGTAGTATCATTGTGACCGACACAAAGTTCCGCTCCACCGTTCACCGGTAGCTTCGAACAATCAAGATTTTCCGGCCAGGCAAAGCCAAAACTGTTCATCAGACGTTCACACCCTGCTCTCGCGCTCTCACACAACGATCTGCACGGGGGTAAAGCCCTGTCGATGATGGTGCATACAGGCGCGTACACTGTGCATAGAAAGAAACGAAGATCTGGACTGCATTTCATTTTGACCAACGGCGCAAACTGATGCACCTCTTGACCGGCGTCCTCTTGCTTTTGGTGGTTCATCAGGTTCGGCATGATCGTCTCGTTGTACGGTAAGTTCATGCACAGATTGATCGTGATCGGTTCGCATCTTCCGTGATGTGCCAAGGGATCTTCTGCGTGAAGAGCACTGACACTCAGCAAGGCCACCAGAAGAGCATTAACCATCGCGTAACACGGAATCATAGCTGCGTAGTCGTGCGTCGATCGTCACTTTTCAAGTTAATCGTCACGCGAAGCAACCTTTGGAAACACGCGAACGCACCACGCTTTCGGACATCATCCATAAATCGTGCGGAACATAATAATACTGAACGGAAGAAGCGGGGAAACGGGTGTACCTAACGACGATGATGGACGCGACCGTAATACTGTAAACAGAACATAGCGAATGCGTTTACCTAGCGAGATAACTCTCATGGAACTGTTGCACGATGGCGGTGCTGCCATCTACGATCACGAGTAGAAACAGCGTGTGTGCTTAAAGGAATAGGACAATTGAAGAGCGGGACTTTTGAACTGTTGAAAAATTGAAGTACGATTTTCTGGAGAGTAGAAAGATACAGATCTTGTAACTTGTTTTTGTTGGTAAATTTAGTGCTCAAAGGAATTTCAACCCGATCTCATTTAAATAATAACTAATGTGGTACATGGTTCACGTCGAAATTAGTACTGTCTGAACAGTATGGTAACGGTAGGGTTTACCGCCCGAAAGATTAAGTTACTGTACTATATATACTTTATTATTTATGTGTGACTTGAGTGTTTTCATGTCATTTAAAAGATTTGAAGTGAGGACGTTAGGAAGTTGGATATGTGAGAATAAAAAGATGTGATAACAATCGGTTGATTTTGATTTTATTTCTTTCCCGACATATAATGCACAATACGTTCGATTTCGTTAGTTGTAATGTTTACTGATCGCAGATGATTAGCGTGATCGTAAGTACTATGGTTTGTTGTAGTATTTTCTGCTTTAATCAATATAGTACATACTCGTGCACCTTTAGACGGGGTCGCACATTCGGGCGGTGATCGTCGCCGCGTTACAATGATAGTCGTTGGAGTGATCCAAAATTTCGCCCGAAATACGGAATTCGCGAACGGCCTCGTTATTCGTAAACAAATAAATAATTTTCTCTCCTTCGAATAATCTCAACTTGAATCGTCCTATCAGACGTAGGAGGTCAGCCTTACGATCTTACGATTAGTAACACTTAAGATTCAATACGGAAGATTGAAAATGTGTCGAGCAAGCCACCATTTCGTCTTCCCGTTCCTCTCTATAATCTCAACGGTATTAACGATTCCACTGCCTGTCATAAAACCTGAAGGAAGCCAGTTATTAAAGAAAACGCGATCCGACAGGATGATCGGATGAACTTCGTATTTTTATCTATTAATGCTACCGATCGTTCAGATTAAAGTTAGCAACTTTTGAAAGAAGAAACAGGTCACTTCAGTTGTCATTTATACTTTGCTAAAGAGTGCCAACTACGAGTTAAATATATCCGAATCACGTGTGTGTATATTTGGACCCCAAAGAGTGTACTCACTTCACTTTTTAACAAAATTATATTTTACATATTTTTTATTTGCGATGAACATTTTATTTTTTATTTGCGTAATTTTTACGTCGTTTTATTTTTGGTTGCTTCTCTTTTTATATTCTGTGACTGGCAACTGTTTAGGTTAGGATTAAGTCCATCGCATAGGTTAAGATAATTTCATAGTTGAAGAATACGGTGTTAAGGTTTTTGATACTATGTATTACAAGAGAGGAGAAATTATATCTTTGGTGTCCAAATAGCAATATAAGTACATTTGTATCAACACCGCTATGTATCATGTACAAAATAAGTTAATAACAAGGAAGACGATTGATAATGGAAGGATCGTTATATTTTATAGTTATGGCAAACATGTTTTACACGAAACAGGTTTACACGTTAGTGTAAATTTATACGGGCGGTAAATGCTGCCCGCTTTGGATTCTATTGCCGGGGATAAACTACCCAAATGGATCGTATACATTTATTGGACCTAGCGTTTCTTTTTTAGAGGAATAACTGTAGAGCATCAGTGATGGACACTAGAATTACTTACTGAGGAATCAGTAGACGTACATCAAGATTTCAAATTTTTTAATTCAAGAGCTTAGAAATTTGAAAATTTATTTTTGAAAAATTGGAAGTTAGAAATGTGGAAGTTTGAAGATCTATAATTTTCGAATTAAGAAATTTGCTACTTTAAAAATTTGGAAAATTGGGAATGAGGAAGTTTAAATATCTAGGAATTTTTCCATACCCCTGTGAGATAGTTGCCCATCACCAATTGTAAGATGTGATTTAAAAATGGCTACGCTTGGCACAAACGACAAGGATTCTAACAAATTCCGTCTTCTCGAACTTTTTGATTTCATTCAATGGAACGTGCAGAAAATCAGACCACAGCGCGACCTGCGCGCATTTTACGTCCCAGTTACCATCGTATTAAAATCCTCGTCTCGAAATTTCAATATCCCGTATCTTACCTAAACGACCTCTGACTACACAAAAAATAATCAATTAAATGTACGTGTCTCGGTGTCAGATGAATCGCAAGCACCTATTAAATCGATCATGATACATAATTACACGGTTTAGTTTAAAGCGCATTCGAAACGCGCTAGGAAGAACTGCGTGAAAGAACCACATTCCGGAATGTAAGAGGAAGACGAAAAGTGGCTTGTGTTTTTGCCTCGACAAAAGTCGATTAACATCCTCTGCCCGTACACAATTACGTCGAGACGTGCACGCGAGTCTCATTATGCACACGTAGGATTAAAAATGTAGTATACGCGCAGAGGTTTCTTTCCCTTTCATGTATGCGCCTGTACATAATTACGTGCAAAATCCGTCGCGCAATGTCAGAAGAGAGTTGCCTCTTTCCGGTTAGCCCTTTGGAGGTTAGGTTATGGCAGTTCCGCCGTTAGTGCTGTCCAAATGGGACGCTTGCCTGGGGCCTTACATTTAGGGACTTTCTCAAATTAAGTTTGTATAAATTTTTAAATTTAGGAACTTGAAAATATAGAAACTTTGGGTGCTTTAAATTATACTTTGAAATTAGACTGATTAAAAAATTTTAGGACGATTTTTTTTTGGTGAACTTGTGTAACAACAGTATGAACTAGTGTATTGCCAATTTTAAGAATTTTCTTGTAGACATACTCGTAGCTAATTGTAATTTAATTTTATACAGTGTTGAATAGTATATGAAGACCTGGGCCCTGCAAAGTCTAGCGACGGCTCTGGACATATTTCAACATGTCGCAAGTCGTACAGGATGTTACAATAGAACTTGACATAAACATTACACCAAACATAAAAATATTGAAGTATTAAATGAAATTATTACTCATAGTCACTTTGAACAATTCTAACCTTAATATAAGATGTCAATTTGATCCATGACAAAATAAATTGTGCATACATTTGTCGAAACACCCTGTGTCCACCATCTAATAAAATCTAATAAAAACGATTCGAACAGGAATGTCGTGTGAACACCTCCAAAGAGTTAATCCTCTCCGCTCGTTCCGAGGAAAAAATAATTGATGCAATCGCAGTGGTAATAAAAAGGCGTGTACAATATTTATACACCTTCCTTGATTAGCACCGAACTTAACGACTAGTCAGTTTACGTACGCGTTCATAACCTGTATAACAGTGTGTCCACGCACGGTCTACTTCTGAATTGTAATCGTTTGTTTAAAACCTCGAGTCGAATGCAATTCATTCTTCTGCCGTTGCGCCGTAACGACACGCAACAATTAAATAGAGATTAAAATACTTTCGAGACATTCGAAAAAATGGACAGACTTTCTTGGAATATTCAGCAAGATTAATACATATAATGCTCTCGCGCAAATTACCGCCAGCGCGCATTATATATTAGATTTATCCGTACCTTCATGTACGTGTAGATATATTTTTTTTTATCTATTTATCGATCTATCTATCGTCCCTCTAGCGACACTAGTATGTGTCCGACTAACCTGTTCGAGCGCGTCAGGTGCGTTTGTATCGTTTCGCATGATCTTGTATAATACGAACAATAAATCTGTATAAATATACACATTATAAAATAATACAAAACAAAAAATATTTATACCACAATAATTTATAGTTCGCTGAATTAAACGGCATACCTGACTTTTCAAATTTTTTAAACTTTTTCAAAATCTACATTTTTAACTTTTAAGAATTTTCGAGTTGAACTATTTTTTCATGGTACAGCAAATGAAATATATGGTAAATTAATTTTGTCGTAAATTTGCCAGCGAATACAAGGACTTACTGAGGTCATTGAAGGCCATTTTATATCCCTTTAATGTGCTTATGAGGAACTTGTTATGCGGCCTTTGTACTCGTCTGTAAAGACCGTATCACACCATCAAAAACGTACCACCTCTATTCAAAGAAATAAATGCGATCTTCGTATCTAGAAACTACCACCTGCAAAAGAATTCTTTTCACTCTACGCGACCCTACCATACGGTGTCATTTTAACGATAAAATATGGCGATGGTAGTTGCTGGATCACCACGCAATTTAAAATTATAATTTTCATGAACCCTCCTAGTAAAATTGGAATTATTTATCTTGTCAGTATTTTTGTTACACAATCTTAATACTTTTATTAATAAAAATTAAACTCTAATATTCAAGTTTAATATTTTGTATAATGGTCGATATGAACATAAATTATTAAGTCAATATTAAATCAAATTTTGTCAGTATAACTTTGTTCATTTGATACGTATAATTTTTCTGGTACAATATATTAAAGTATATTTTCATTTTTTTTTAATTGCATATGTGGTGCAACATATGTTTTTAGCCATAGACAGCAGATCATGAGATGTTTTAAAGGTTAGTTTTTACCAACTGAGTGTACTGTTTACTTTACAAGTACTGAAATTAATAAAGTCATCTGACATTAAATTTAATAAAAGTTCAGATAAATACTGACCATTTATGTCACTAATATTTTATCACAAATACTGACTACGTAAATAGTCCCCTAATATCGAAGTTAAAAAATACAATTCACATTCAGTCATTCGGTACTTGGTGTGAAAACGTAAAAGACATAACCAACATTTTATGAATTACTTCGAGCAACAGTTTCGTGAACGTCGGTCACGCGACGTAGATGCATTAATACCCGTATACCGATATAATTTCTATGAATTTCACGTGTCTGGTGACGTTCACGGCCGCCGTTGTCGAACGACAATTCCACGAAGAAAAATAGTTACTCATGCACGCGAATCACGATACAACGCCTTGCGAACACCTGTGCGCGTCGAACGTAACAAAAAAGGAGAACGAACGAAATTGAAGAAAAATTAGTTTAGTACGGTTGCACTTTTGAGCAAACGATCGCTCTTATCGCGTATCGTAGTAAACGTACCGCATTTTGTATACGCAACAAGATATCGTACGCCTGGGAAGATATATATTTGGCACTGGATTCTCTTCGAGAGAGCCTCTCAGGTTCGAATCGCAATTATTTACGCGTTAATAAATTACGATCCCATCGAGCCTGGTCGAGTAATGACAATCCTATCTTTAATTAGGGAGGGAAGGTATAGTTTAATTCAATTAAAACGGATGGTGTTGTGTTTCTACTTGCCCCGTCGAAATTAAGGGTCTTCTAAAGACCCTTCGAGCAATTATGTCTAATTAGTCGTCATTGATTTTATACCCTTTTGATAGGTACGAATTGGTATAATAGGAGATTAATTAAATAAGAGATAAAAACTGTACACCATACATAAAGGTTTAGAACAATAGTAAATAAATTTAGAATCTTGAAATTTGAAAAAGAGGTTAGAATTTGATCGTAACTTGTCACATAACCTAATTTAAATATGATGATATAACAAATATCTGTAAGGTCACATTTTAAGTAGAATTATTTTGTACCTGATGCAAAGTATTCCAACACGGAATCCGAGTGTTCCTTATCGCCTAATTCCAACTTAAGTCCTAAACTTTGAATTTCGACTCTCTCGATTTACTCTACGATACGAATCATCGACAAGGAACACTCGAACAAACACGATAAGGGATATGATTGGCATTACTCAGCCAGAGTCGGCAGTTATCTGGCCGCAATGATCAGCGACGAAAAATACTGATTCTCGCTCTCTACCGGCTATACTTTCGCGCTTTCGTTCGCGTATCGCTGCGATTAAGATCCGCGGAACTTACCGAGATCAAAGGAACGATATCGACCCAACAAACGATCGAGAATCTCGACGAGGAGAGCAGCGCGACGCTTGCGATTACTTCGCTTCCATCACTTCAGCTCACAAAAATATACAATTCTCGCACTAAAAAATACCAATCGATGCATTCTGATTAACTATATTCACCTATGTCTTTGATTTGAATTGCTCAAACTTTCTGAAAGGAAAGTACGTTTACCTTGATACATCGAACCTTCCTCTTGACACATTGAAGTCACTTTCTTGACACATCGAAATTATTGTTCCTCTTAAAATAACTGTTATTACAAATTTCTCAAACTGTAGAACAATTGATATAAACACACATGTAATTTCTTGAGTCACAGATACTGCTAAAATTAAAGTATTTTTCTGAGATATGTAATAACGTGTTTTCTTGAACAAAGACGCAGCGTCTTGAATAAACGTAGCACGCATGCGCGTTGTACATACTGCGCATGCGCACTAAGGATGTATACCCAATGCATTATTCAAGAAACTTTATTTCTTTTCGATAAATATTTTAATTTCGACAATTCTTGAAACTGAAGCAATTAGATTTGAACGTATAGCAACATTAAAATTGAAATATTTATCGAAAGAGAAATATAGAGATGTTTTCTTGAATATAATACAACGCATGCATTTTTAACTGCGCATGCGCACTTCGTGTTTCTATTCAAAAACACTTTCAACTTTTTTCGATAAACATCATTACTTGAAAATATGTATTAATGTATTATTTTAATATGTTTTTCCATTTTATGTTCATATGTTATTTAAGGTGATTATAGCTAATCAGAGTATCGTCAATTAGTATGTTTTTTAAGAACGAAAATTGTATTTTCGTAGGCTGGAATGTAGGAAATTATTCCGCCTCCAGACGGCAGCCATGGACGCGACTCCCAGGCCCGTTTATATGTATATGTATTATAGTTCGAATCGCGCGAATAGGTTATTATACATTATCGTGCAGCAACGCGCGGCCGTTTAGGATACGAAAAAAATATACGCAGCCACGCGTGCATTATGACTAGACAGTTTGTAGTCCTCGTTTCGACGGACGAAGATCGTTCTGCCGACGTTCTTCGTTTCATGTTGCACGGCTTATCTTTGTATGTAGCTGTGCGGTCGATTAGAACGATCGATCGAGCATTCTCTCATGAAACAATCTTCAACTCCGTTCTCATATTTGTCATAAAAAAAATTTTACAATTCGTAGAACTTAGAAATTTGCGCATGTTTAAATATTTTTTAATTCTTCTTTACATATTTGATTTTTTAAAATAGAAGATTAACGGTGTGCTTGTCTTTATTCGACGTCTAAGTATAATAAAAAAGATACGAATCGAAGAGATAATTCTTCGAATGATTTACTTATTGTTTCGAGCCGCTTTATATTTTACGTGAAAATAAGAGCGATGGGAATCTTGACGAAAAGCCCATGAACTCAAGACAAGAATTGCGATTGAAGAGAACGTATTACGAAGATCGAACAATCGACCAATTAATATATGTATATGGTTTCTGACTGATTGAGCATAGAACGCCGCTCCATCAACGCGAGCCCCTACTAATCCTAATTTGATCTTATTGTTAGTCTACGCCCGAGTATCTCTTAATTACTTAACCATAGGGGTAGCGAATTAAAAGACGCACGAGGTCGAACGTCGGCAGGTATCGATCCGCGCGCACCTGATCGAACGTTCTTCGATCCGTGTCACGAGGAAAGCATCGTACGACGATGATATGGCACAAGATCTCCCTTCATCCTCTCCCCGAGGGCTCACTCTTAGCTGTTCATCACGGTAGATCGCCTGGAGTAGCCTCGTCTCGTGACCGTCTCACCCTGAGCCTCGCACTCCCTCTTCACCCGATCGATAATGTCCGCCACCAGCTTCTCTTCTTTCTCTCTCTGCTGCTCCCAGTCTGGCCCTTTCCCGATCTGTCGGGGCACGTTTCACATTTTTCCCCTTACTCTATCCACGATCGAACGATCGAACGATCACGAATGATGCGCAAGGAAGCGGACGGAAGCTGGGGAGCACCGTAAGCCCTTCCTTCCATAACCTTCGAGAGTTCTGCTAGACCTTCGAACCTTTGTGTTCGAGGTATGGTTACCTCCTCTTTTGTGGAACGTAGGTAAAAGTTTCTTTTTTGCTGAGAATTGTGCAGTGGCGTAACTGCGATTTTTGTTAGGTTTTATTACTGTTCAAGGTATTCATTTTTTTTTATGATGTTTTCTGGGAACAGCTTTTGGGAATGGGGGGATTTATACGGTGTATTTGCTAAATGAAAGTTTGAACATTTGGGGACTTGAATTTCAGCATTTTGGGGAATTCAGGATTTGGAAATTAGAAGATTAGAAATTCAAAGACTTGCACCTTAATAAATTTACAAATCTCCAAATTGAAGAAAGAAGAATAATCATCACCTTACAATAAAAATATTAATTTTTTTTTACTCAGATAATTCCAGCATAAATCTTATTGAAAGAAGGGCTTTCACATGCTTATAAAAATGCCAGCAGACGGGAAAGCAGGGCGATGAAGCGGGTTAATCGCGCTAGCGATGGGCCATTAGCAAGCACTTTCATCTAACTCTCGAGTGCTCCGAAAGTCTCGAATTTCTCAGAACTTTCCAATTAACATTACCTAGCAAATTCTATCTCTCCATCAAATCTGAACATCATCTCAACAGGAACAAAAATATAATGTCCCAATTATAAAAAGGTTTCGAGACTTTCAAGACTATCATCTCGTTTGTAATACCGTTTGAACGTGTCTGAAATATGAAATGCCCATCGGTAAACGCGACACAGGGTAAGACTTACATCGGAGGTCTTCCGGACCTTCTTGTTGGCCGGCTCTTCTCTGTTTTCGTCGTTCTCGTTGTCGGAATGCCGCGAGCTCAGGTGACCGATGTAACCCTTGCGGGACTTGAAGTAAGCGTTACAGCTGTGGCACTTGAAGAGCGGCGCCGGCTGGGTGACCTGGGTAGGGACGTGGAGTTTGTACTTGTGCCTGTACCAACGGGTTCGAGACGGTAGGACCTCGCCGCACCACTTGCAGACTACGGAACCGTCGTTTTGAATGAGGTATTCCAGCAGCTTGTAAAACAACGTTTATTTGGTTTTTTCTCTCCCTTTCTCTCTCTGTCTCCCTCGTTCGTGTCAAATTCCGCGCGCCTTCACGCGCATGCGCGCTCTCCGTTTCTACTTTCCCACGCTTTTTTAAACCGCTCACTGTCTGTTCGTTTTTAGAGATTTAGAGATTTCGGGATTTGTGGATTTGGGGATTTAGATATATGGGAGGTTGGAGTTTTAGGGGTTTAGGGATTTGGGGATTTGGGGAGTTGAGGATTTGGAAATTTGAGGATTTGGGGATTTGAGGATTTGCAGATTTAGAGATATGGGACGTTGGAATTTTAGGGGTTTAGAGATTTGGAAATTGAGGAATTTGTAAATTTAGAGCTTTGGGGTCTTAGAGATTTGGAGATTTAAGGATTTGGAAATTTGAGGAATTTGTAAATTTAGAGTTTTGGGGTCTTAGAGATTTGGAGATTTAAGGATTTGGAAATTTGAGGAATTTGGAAATTTAGAGATTTGGAAATTTGAGAGTTTGGGTATTTGAGGGTATGGAGATTTAGAGATATGGAAAGTTGATGTTTCAGGAATTTAGGGATTTAGTTGTTTGGAAAGCTAAGGGTTTGGAAGTCTGAGAGTTTGGGTATTTGAGGATTTGTTGTTTTTGAAAAATAGGAAGCTAAGGTTTTAGGGGTTTAGGGATCACAGCGACTCATTATCTCAGGAATTTAGAAATTTGTAAATTCCTGCACTTGAGTTAGGAATTTTGAAATTAGACAATCTAGAAATTTATGAACATAACAATTTAACACATTGGTAATTTCAAAATTTGTCAAGTTAGAATTTTGTAGGTTTACATACAAAAGAAGCAAATTGCTGCTCAACCCAGTTGCCAGCTAACTACACGCATAATGAACAAAAATTTCTGGTGTGACGAGTAATCAGCAGAGCTACATACATCATTCTAATAGACAGTGAGCGGGTTAACATCGACTGAAAATGGCGCAGCCAATTCGAGAGGCAGTTCGATTAACCCCTTGCCGACTAACGTGCCTATTCAGACTATTCAAATTCTGTCGCGTGCACATTGTCGCAGTTAAAGGAAAGCTATCTCAGTTGTTGTGTTTGAAACTACTTTATTCTCCATACGGTGAACTTATAATGTAATGATACACAGGAAGAGAAAATACGTATGTGTTCGTCAGACGACGACCAGAAACAGGAGAGAAAATCAAAATGATTGAAAGGCCGATACAATAAAAAATGATCGCGTGAAATAATGTTCATTAGAAACGATAACATGGTACACAGTTTGGTGTTCACTAATCATCTTGAGGCGCGTGATACTTCTCGAAACACACTTGCAAATGTAAAGCTTTCTTGCATTGCTTGCATTGCCAGGTTGTCTCACGTCGTGTGTTGTGTTTGGCGCACACGTGACACCTTTTCGAGGGGTTTTGTTTCTTACTAGTTGGCGGTATACGTTCAGGGAAATGTCCCCAATTCTTATCCTGTAATCGTAGTGGTGTATTAACACGTGTCAAGCAACAATTCGCTACAATTCATTCCATATCTCACGAAGAAATTAATTAGTCTAAATGGGCACTTCAAAAAAACAAAAATAAATAAATCTTGTACAGCAAGGGGTTAAAGTACCTTTCGCTCGAAAGTATTTTCGTAATTTTTCCTCTAAACTTTCGCTCGGATGTACGCACGTGTCCGTAAAACGAGATCAACGTTCGTGGCGCAAGATGGAGGATGCACCGACAGAAAAGGTGTCACCCAAGATAAACGACGTAAAAATAAGATCAACATCTCCGCGCGTAATTATACACAGAGAAAGTGCGGTTCAACGAACTCTGCGCGATGAGCGAGCAATGTGTATAAAAAAGATACGAAGGGCAAATCGGATAAGACGCACACGAGGTGATAAAGGATTACTCCAGATCAACGTTTCTTAGGGTGCTTTCCATTCGGCTGGCACGAACTTTTAGCATAGTAATATCTTTGTCGACGATTAAGGGTGATGGAAGATTCAAATATCTGAGGAGCAATGATGGGTGTTGCAACAGGGAATTTTATGGGAATTTCAAGTTTTGGAATTGGAGAACTTAGGAAGTTGGATGTTTGAGAAATATGTGGAGGTATGTGGGATATGGGATTCTAGAGATTTAGTGGTGGATGGATGTGAGAATATGTGAGTTGAAGATGTGAGGATATGGGAATATCTATATCTCTGTATTTAGGAGTTAGGAGTATAGGGATGTCTAGGTTTGGGATATAGAGATGTGGGAATATCAAGGTTTGGGATATAGAGATGTAGGAATATCAAGGTTTGGGATATAGGGATGTGAGAATATCAAGGTTTGGGATATAGGGATGTGGGAACATCTAGGTTTGAGATATGGGGATGTGAGATTATCTACACTTAGGATTTGGGGATATAGGAATATCTACATTTAGAATTTGGGGATATAGGAATACCTGGGTCTGGGATATAGGGCTGTGGGAATATCAAGGTTTGGGATATAGCGATGTGAGAATATCAAGGTTTGGGGTATAGGGATGTGGGAATATCTAGGTTTGAGATATGGGGATGTGAGATTATCTACACTTAGGATTTGGGGATATAGGAATATCTACATTTAGAATTTGGGGATATAGGAATACCTGGGTCTGGGATATAGGGCTGTGGGAATATCAAGGTTTGGGATAGAGGGATGTGGGAATGTCAAGATTTAGGATATAGGAATGTGAGAATATCAAGGTTTGGGATATAGGGGTGTGGGAATATCAAGGTTTAGGATATGGGGATGTGGGAATATCTATATATAGGATTTGGGGCTATAGGAATACCTAGATCTACGATATAGGGATGTGGGAATATCTATATCTAAGATTTTGGGATGTAGGAATATCCACATTTAGAATTTGGGAATATAGGAATACCTAGGTCTGGGATATAGAGATGTGGGGGATATCAAGGTTTGGGATATGGGGATGTGGGAATATCTACATATAGGATTTGGGGCTATAGGAGTATCCAGGTTTAGGATCTATGGACATGAGAATATCCATATCTAAGTTTTAAGAATATAGAAATATCTTCATCTAAGATTTAAGAATATAGAAATATCTTCATCTAGGATTTAAGAATATAGGAATATCTATGTCTGGGATCTATGCTCATGAGAATATCTACATTTAGTAATTAATGATACAGGAATATCTTCACCTAGGATCGAAAAATAGAGTAATATCTCTGTCTGGGATCTATGGTCACGTGAATATCTACATCTAGGATATAATGATACAGGAATATCTTCATCCAGGATTGAATATTATAGGAATATCGAGGTCCAAGGATATGAAGATCTAAGAATTTTTATATTCGTAAATAAATTGCGCATACTTCAGAATATAAAAAGCACAGAAATAAATATTTGCAAATTTGTAAAGTCCGATATTTCACCCACGCGGTTGCCCATCACTGACGTAGTTTCTTGTCATTAATCGATCACCTGTGGAGACTTGCATAGGTAAAAACGTACTCAAGCAGATAAGATAATTGGTCCTATTTATTTGACTAATTGGCGCTAGTTAAGCAGGTGTTACAAACATTTCATTTGTATCGTACAACGCCTATAAGAGATAATTTTGTGAACGATTTACAAGGATCACCTACTGTTCAATGTTTTACGCTTTGTCAATGAGAATTTAATTTCATCGTTCGAATATTTGTTCAACGATGTTTACTATAATACGTTCTACGAGGACACATATAGTTAGTAAATTAATAGCAATAGAATTTTTTGGACAAAATTTTTGCTAAATTACCTATTTGTAAAATTCAACGCTACGCACACGAAGAATGTTTAAATGGAATTGAAATTAATTTTTTAATTAATTATAATGGTACGAGTTTGAAACACTCGAACGATATTCTAGTTCGTTCGATAAAATGTATTATCTGATTGGAACTCTATGTACACATCGAATCAACAACTACCCGTGTCAATTAATCGATTTGATAACACTGTATTATTCAACGAAACCATTGTCTATTAATTTGATATAACTATGTTAACTGAACTATTGTAACATCATGTTGTACTAATGTGGACGTAACTGTAAAAATAATATATCTATCATTTGAGTAAATTAAAAACGTAGAATAAAATTTTGTTATACGTTTCTTAGGTAAATAATTTTCAACGTTTATCAATAACCAATGTACTTTGAGTGCGATTAGGCTTGCATATTAGGTATCGTGTGAAGGAAAATTCACTAATATCACCCTCCCATATTCAAAAAGAAAAGAGCTGTCAACGTAGAAAAATAATTTAGAGAAAAGCTAAATATTTTTTATGGACTCCCCAGCAGAATTTAATCTAGAAGACATATTATTCCATAACTGGTACTACAATCGAAAAAGGGGTAACTCTACCCATAAAAAATACTAAAAATTGTACAACAAAATTTGTTCATATTTACTGTCATTCTGCAAAATACTAAATTTGAGGATTCTTAAAATTTTTCATAAAAAAATTTCTGTACAAAAAATTTAATAAAAAAATTTCTATACAAAAAATTTTTGTATAGCAAAGCAGGTGATAATATGTTTCATTAATTTAATATTGTATGAAGGTTATAAATTATCTTAAAGAACAAGAGTTTCGTTCCTGCCATACACGAAGTGTTTGACGATAGTGTAATTAAAAATGATCATTAATCTGAGGCATGTGTGCAGTCATTAACCGTTCATAATAATAATGCGCAGTAAAGTTATCGCGTTAATTTAGCGCGTTATAGCATGAACTTTATTGCGCAATTTATTGCTTTCCGTTATGATCTGCGTGTACGTTTAAATATTCAAGGTCACGGTCAAGGTCATTGAGTCTTGCACTTGTGGCTGAGGATAACCTCCAAATTTATACTGACTTAATTATCTTGGCAACTCAAGTAATATGCAATTATTATAAATCTTGAATGAAGTATATTATTTTTTTTCAAGTATTATGTGGAGTTTGAAGTTCAAAGTAAGCTTGATAAATTTTTAAGTTCAATTACTTGCCTCCTAGTTTGATACATTTAATAGTTTTTAATATTCCTAAACTAGTAGTCATTTATAACTTACGTCTACACTTTGTCAATTGTACGCCCTTTATCAATTGTACCACCAATTGCGGATCCCCTGATGCAACTACCACTGCGTTTAGCAATTGAGAATATTAGCTCAAACTTCGGGAAGTACTTCCCTCACGAGTAAACATTCTCACGAATATAACTTTCCCGCTGAAAATTACTATTACAAACCTAGCTCTAATTTCCGAGTCAAGAATTCCATTCAGGAAGAAGCTTCATCGTTCTAATTCGCTCTAAGTCTCGCAAGACTGCAACACGTATATCAAAGCAAATAAAAGGAAAACGAAGGAGGTTAATGGCCAGGAGGATGGCACGAATGGAAAGCACCCTATCAAATCCGCGGCGTGACGAGTTTTCGTAGCTGTCTCTTCGTGGGCAGTCCGTTTCTGTTGGTGCAGTGTCTGCGAGGACGCGTGTAACTGCGGACCCTCTTCATGTTCGTCCTCTGAACGAAACCAGCCGCAGGTGGTGCACTGCCTGCCGAAGCAGTGTCAGAAGCAGCAGACCAACCAACCTGTTTCCTGACCTCCGGTTCAGCTTCTCCCGACTCGGATTTTGGCAGCAACAGATCACCGCGATCCTCCTCGCGGTCCGTCAGAAAATGCATCCCGCTGACCACCCTCTCGGACTTGATGAACTCGCTGCCCTCGTTAGTCGTCTCGTTGAACGCGTCCTCGCCGCTTCGCGTCGTCGCCGTCGTGGACGACGCCGGTGGCGGCG